TGACTTCCTTTGGCGATCATTACATGTTGTTATCTAAGCGATGCGAGCTTCAGTCCTGACTGTGGGCAGCTCTCTCTTAACTGGAGTGGCGACGAGAACAGGAGCAGCCGTGTCAGTGGGTCTGTGTGTCTCTGGGTGAGAACTGGACTGAAGCAGTTTAACCAATAGGCTGTGTGTGTTTTCCTCGCGTGGCAGGAAGTCACGGGTGGCCAGTGAGCTCGTGGATCCTCTCATGGAAGCGGTCAGGCACCTGGGCTTCTCCTGGCTGCCGCTTTGCCGTTCCCGACATGTGGCCTGTGTCCTCGTGGTCCCGAAGTGGCTGCCAGACCTCCAGCACTGCTGTGTGCTCCAGGCAGGACCCCGTGGAATGGATGGCGTGACCCCATTTCACAGAGAGGAAAGCGATGCTCACGAGGGTGAGAAATCCCTGTCTCGCGGGAGCGGGTGCTGTGAGGGCTGAGACCACGTCTGGGACCTGGGGACAGCAGGTGTAGCCATTGTTTGCTCAATGGGAGAGGCCTCTCCAGGGCCCTGGGGGATGATGGTGGGCCTCTGGGTACTGGAGCCCCTGCCCATGGTCGGCCTGGGGCCTCAGACCCCCTGGGGCTGCCTGTGGCACCTCAGAACTGGCCCGTGAGTGGGACAGCAGTGTGGCTGCTTAGTTGGGGGTGGAGGATGCTGGTTGTGTCAGGACAGGCTGGGGCTGCAGTGATGGCCAATGACACCCAGGCCTGGGGACAGGCAGCAAGGCGCCTGGCCCCGAATCCTGCAGCTCGTGTCTGCTGACCCGGTCCTCAGTGCCCACTGCATGGGAGATACAGGGGAGGGTTTGTTCTTGTTCCATTTAGGAAGAAAGATTTACATTCAGGGGCAAACTATGGCCTGAGGACCAATCTGGCCCACCACCGTCTTTGTCAATAAAGTTTTACTGACACCCAGCCATGCCATTCATTTGCTTTTGTGCTACATGGCAGAGTCAAGTAGTTTGACAGAGACTTTGCAGCTTGCAAAGGTTGAAATGTTTACTGTCTGGCCCTTTGCAGGACTGGTTTGCTGACTGTGGCCTGTGCAGAAAGCAGCCAGGATCAGGGCTATGCAGGGGGGCTTCCTGAGAGGCAGGGGTGGGGGGGGGCTCACAAGGGGCTGCAGCGTTTCTGGAACACATGATGCAACAGCCATGTGGGGGCTTGGTCAGGAAAGGAGCTGCTTGGGGTGCAGATGGCCAGGGTGCGGCTCTGAGCATCTGCGGGAGCAGGGGGGCAGGCGATGGTGAGGTGGCCTGGGGGCGTGTGGCCCAGAGGACAGCACTCCTCAGCTCGGCCCTGGTGCCACAAGGGGCTGTGGGCCAGAGCAACTAGTTCATGCCATTTTCCAAGAGAAGCCGGCAGTCTGGTGTCATGGAAAACGTTTAAAAACCACAAGCGCATGTGCCTCAGGTGCGCAGGGTGGAAGTGAAGAAGGTGGGGTGTGTGGGGAGACCCCGGGGCATGCCAGGCTCCGTGCCCCCGAGATCCCTCCTGCAGAGGGTGGCAGGCGGGCTCTGTGCTGGGGGAGGGCACTTGGGTAGCTGGGAGGTCGGATGTGTGGCTGAGCCCGGGGCCTGCATGGCTGGTCTCCTGTCTCCCATCCTGTCGGAGCAGGTGGGTCACTCCCGCCTGCAGGCTTGGGCATGAGCCTGAGTGGGGCACCCGTCCTTGCTCATCTGGCCACCCCAGAGGGGAGGGGCTCTGTAGGTGGAGGGTGGGAGGTGGAGATCTCCAAAGGCCCCTGGGAGATTCTCAAGGGTTTGGGTTTGCTGCTCTGTCCTCATGGAGTTGAAGCCGTGCCAGGAGGGGTGATAGGTGGGGGCTGGGCTTGGAGCTGCATCGGCCTGAGCGGACCCCAGCTGGAGGCTCCTGTGGCCTGAGACGGGAATGACTCATCGCAGGTTGCCGTGAGAATGAAGAGAAAATGGGAGTGACAGGGCTGGGTTTGCACAGCATCTGGGGTGCCTGTGCTGGGGCCTGGCCTGCTCCCCCGACAGCATCTGGGGTGCCTGTGCTGGGGCCCTGCCTCGGGGGCGGGCCTATTTCCCCGACAGCATCTGGGGTACTGGGCTATTTTCAGCCTCACAGATGGGCCCTCACCTGCTGAGTCGAGAACTGGTTTCCAGGCGCTTGCTGGCACCACTCTGGGCTTAGTATTTGTTTTAAGCAGGACTCTTGGTTGCAAATGACAGCAGCCCAGGCCAGCTTGGCTTCAGCAAGAAGTCCTGGCTCAGGAACAGGGTCCAGGGTGACTCTAGCATCTAGCAAAATAGGATTCAGGTGCTCAGACGATATTGCCAGGCCTCTGTCTTGCTCTGTCTCCAACTCAGCTTCCTTGGCAGGCACCCCGGTGGTGGCAGAAGTGGCCTCAGGCCCTAGCCAGTTTGGCTCAGTGGATAGGGTGTTGGCCTGTGGACTGAAGGGTCCTGAGTTTGATTTCAGTCCAGGGCATGTACCTGGGTTGCAGGCTGGATCCCCAGCCTTGGTCGGGGTGCATGCAGGAGGAAACTAATCAATGTGTCTCACATCGATGTTTCTCTCTCTGTCTCTCCCTCTCCCTTCTATTCTCTCTAAAAGTCAATGGGGAAATATCCTCGAGTGAGGATCAACAACAATAACAACAACAAATAAGAAGTGGCCCTCAGGCTTGGGACCCAACCTCACAGGAACCTGGGTGGCGTTGGGGACATCCCTGTCCCAATAGCCAGAGTCCCACAGCTGCTTCTCATTGGCCCAGCGTGGGTCATGTGATCACCCCTCATCCCTGCTGGGGGAGGTCCGGCCTCCTCTCACCCTTCCTTTCGCTGTAGGGTGGGCTGGGGGCTGGCACAAGTGAAAGCAGGAAAGTCAAGATGCCCATCCACACCAGAATGGGGAGTGGAGGCTGGACGGGCACACGCCCTCGCCACGCCCACCCACCGGCTAGAGCAGCACTTGGAGCTGAGGAGGCCGCATTCCGAGCCCCTGGCTCATCACAGGCCACCTGCTCTGGCAGCAGTCAGTCCCACACTCCAGCCGGCTGAGTCACTTGCCCACATTCCCCCGGTGCCCTACGGGGTTGCCAGGGGCTTGCTCCAGGGCCGGGATGGAGCCGCCAGCTCCACAGCCTTCCTTCTGGTCCTGCAGGCTGGGGGCCCTTTAGACAAGGCTTGTTCTCAGGAGCCCTGTGGGTTCCTCGTGGGAACTTCCTTTTCTGAGCACACGCAGCAGCTCTCTCATAACCATGGGCCATCTGGCGGGGCCCACCTCCCTGCACCCCCTTTCCTTGCTTTCCGAAGCAGGGATGACGTTTCCCTCCATCAGGAGGCAGGACCATTTCTTACATCAGATCTCGCTGGATCTAGAGACACCATGACATCTAAAGCTGCTAAAAGTCTCTTCTGAGCACTTCGTGGTTCCTTCATAATGAGATGGATTTTCCTCCTTTTTGGGGAGTCTGTCCCCTTGAGAGAGGAGGCAAAAGCCCCGTCTGTGCGGTAGAACCATTTCAGAAAGAACAGGGCATCGGGATAAGGCCCAGCAGCCCCAGGAGGGGCCGCACAGTGGGGCCGGGACCCTGGCTGTGACCTGGCCTGTGCACAGGCCTGTGGGGACTCCCAGGGGCCCCTACTCTTGCCTGGGCCCTAGGCCTGTCTTTCAGGATCACAGAATGGACTTTGGAGTGTTCTCTAGATGGCACTGGGCGGGGGCCAGTTCTCGGGAGGAACGGGGTGAAGATACCCTAAAGCTGTGGGCTCTCCTCTCGCCTCGCCGCATCACCCTGGTGTGAGTTCTCAGTTGTGTCTGGCCGAGGAGCTATTGAAGGGCTTGGTCCCCATCTGTGGGGGAGAGGGGGGGTGGATGCAGCCCAGGGAGGTGCTGGGAGCAGGGGCACAGGTGGCAAAGGCCTGTGTCCCTCGTAGCCTCCGAGAGGGCTGAGCCAGGGTGGGCTGGCCGACGCTGAGTGCGTGGAATATTCTATTGTCCTTTTGTGAGGCTGGCCCGTGGCCAAGGTGAAGTGCTGATTGTCAGCTGTGGGGACGGCACGGAGGTTTGTGCTCCTAGACACCTGGCCACGTGCTGCCTTATTGGAAATCCTTTGATGCAATTGAGAGGGCTGGGTGTGGGGAGAGCTCGGGCCCTGGGCTCAGACACCAGAATCCGCCTCCTCCCCCTACACCCTGCCCATCCCCCTACCGGAGCAGCCCTCCGCAGCCTGGCCGATCCTCAGCTGTCACTCCCTGGGATCAGCCCTGGGAGCTCTGAAGGTCCCGTGTCCAGGCCACACCACCGACCAGTGACATCAGACTCAGGGCGGGTCCGACATGGTCCTTCCTAACCCTCCCAGGAGACTCCCCGTGCATCTGAGTTTTGAGGGGATCCTGGGTAAAGCTGGACTTTCCTCAGATGCAGGTGTAGCCTGGAGCGTCTGCCACTAGACAGAGCTTGGGGAGGGCGCCTGATGGAAACCCCCTTCCCATCCCCCCTGCAGCAACATCCACCCAGAAATAAGTGCTTCCTAAAATGGTTCGATTGAAAAAACAAAAACTAACGCATGTGGCACACACTCAGGAGCACAGATGGGTCCCCGGTAGCCCGTCCCAGTCCTGAAGCGGCAGGCCCTGCCCAGGCTCCCGGGGACCCTGCCGAGCTGTC